CTATCTTCTTGGATGCTCTGATTTTTTCACAATCTCCTTTTGTCCCAAAATTAGAGAAAAAATGRAATTTTGAAATAGTAGACAGAAGGGTAACTCTAAATTGTCTTTGATAATTTGATGATATTAAGCCTGAAAATGTTACATAACATGCCATGAAAGTAAAGAAAACAGAAATTAAAAAGTCTAAGCTAAGCTTGAAATTGCAAACAAATCAATTAATTGATTTTTAGATCATTTACAAGTGCATCTGTTAACGCTGTGTTTGGAAATGGGGATGGGAACAGTGCTGCAAAAAATAGAGTTTTCACTAAACTATATTTTTCTAGAGGAAACCTTAGAGACAGTAATCTTGGCACAGTCACCCTGACACCTTTGCCATTGCCAAAACCCTTTCCTGAATTAGAGGTTTGTCCTTCTCCTGCAAGCACCTGAATAAAGTGTTTTAAGTCAAGCTCTTCTCCTTGATAATATAAGGTCTTCTAGTGACTGTTCCAGTTTGTTGTGTAAAAAAATAGTCCTGGTAGTGCAAAATCTGGCTGCAGCTGAGGACAGGAACTTTATAGAATCAACTATCGAGATAGGATTTGAAATATTAGCTTTTGCTACGTGCAGCTATCTGCAGCCTGACACAGCATTAAAAAACAAAAAACTACAACAAAAAGAACACTTTTCCTCAAAAGCACCTTAAAGTTCATGTCATTGAGAAAAGAAAACACCCAAAGTCCATTCATCCTCTCTGCACATATTCCCACATTCTTCAAAGCTTCTTCAAGTCACCAGTGAAATTGGACTTTGGTAAAACTGAGAACTTGTTTTGCATGATTTTTCACATAAAGACTTGTGTAGCCCTGGAAAAATAGAGGTATTTGTGAKGTATATTAAATATAGGCAGATATGATTCCAGGTTTAAAAAAAAAGACAACTTACACATTACTTAGATTTTTTGAGGATAGTATTATGTGCAATAGAGCACATAGTACTATCCTCTACTATCAATAGAGCACAGCAAGAAGCAGCATACAGCTAAATGTGTGTGATATCCTGAGTGATTCAAATCAGAGTTCCTTTTGCCAAACAAAAACGTGGAGCCTGGGTGCTACCTGTAAACCTGCTATTGCAGCCAGCAAGCGCTGCTGGCCAGCAGTGTCTTTGAACTGTAACTTGCTCTCATACAGATACACTTCGACATGCATAAACACACCCATTTCATTTCTTTCTTTAGTAATAATCTAGATACACTTCAACATGCAAAAAACACACCCATTTCATTTCTTTCTTTAGTAATAATCACACATGGCCTGGGAATATAGTGGGTAACATATGTACCCATATTATGTATATGTATACATATGTACCAATATTAAAGACAACATCTACACACCCTGAAACACATACATCTGTGCTGTCTTTTAATGTCTCTCCTGGCTTGGACTATGCCAGATGGATAGTAGATTCATGCTAAGTATCATGATTTAAGACTAGAAATTCAAGTGTGTGTCTTCAGTTATGAAGAGTCTATAACACTGAGAACGATTTACACAATCAAAATAAAAGCTAAAGAAAAGATGGGCCAAATGATTGCTTATTTGAGTACTTTCTAAAGCAAAGTAACACAAATGTATTACAGAAAGTACAATTCATTTTCTGGGGTAATCACACAATTAGGAGGGAAGATGGCCAATATATCAAAAAATCAATTACATTCGCAAGCATTATGCTAAAACCAATTTCCCTTCATTTGAATTCTGTTTCTGAACTGTCCTTTTAAAACAGATTGATGCAACCAAAAGAGTTAATCTGAGCAAATCTATAGCAAAAAGTTTTGAAAGAAAATCATACATTTTGTTTTTACCATTAAGTGGAGGAGGTAAAACTAACTTCACACTTAATGGAAGACTTGCATAATGGTGAGGCTATAGGTTTTCTTCAATTTATATTAGAAAGGATCTGACACACATCAATTTCCTTACCCTCTTATCTAGAAGAGGCATAAACCTTCCTGGGGATAAGTTTTTCAGAACTACTTGACAATATCTGAATTGAAAAATCCTCAGGCAATTTGCTGACCTCAGAAGCATGGTCATCCTTTGTGTTATTAAAAGACAAGACTATATGMTAGAAAATTCATTATAATACTCTGGCCCTCTAATTATCAGACCATTTGATTTAATGAGAATGTGAATTGTTGAGAAAGACTTCAAAAAGCAGAAGTGACAGAGGACCAAATACATGAACTTCCAGTGAAACGGATGGGAGAGATTTAAAGAAGTTAAAGAAGCATAGTATATTAATTCACATTAACTAACATTAGTAATTAAAATATCTCACTACAACTTCCTTAACAGGATAGCCAGAAAGTTGTGGGTGCTTTGAGAATGGAAGAGAAGTTTGATACTTTCCATGGTCACACAATATTACACAGACATTTTGTCCTTACACAATGAAATGAAGAAGCTGAGAGGAACGTGAATGGGCTAAGGGTGGAGCTTGATCTGCTATTAATTTATCTTTGACAAAGAATAGAAACAAAACAGAAAAAAAATGGGGAAAAATGCTCTATTGAATGCATGATAGTCATAAAAAACTCTTCTCTGAGTTCATGTTGCCTCTCTTAGTGGAATGAGAAACTGTGCAGTCAGCAAATTACACTTAATTACCCCTGCTTCACTAGAAGAGAAAATGATAGTGATGTAGAAGCCCCACAGCTGGATGGGCACTTTAGAAATAGCTGAGTCTGAGCAGGTTCATCTAGTGAGAAGAACAGCAAAACGCCATGTACTAAATCAAACTGAAATATACAATTGAGCAATGTACCAGGAGAAGAGGGAAGACTGCCTATGGCAAAAGATGAATTACTTCCAAGGTAAGTATTATATCACTAACACTGTGATCTCCATACTTGCATAATGCAGGAATGCTGCAATAAAAACAGTTTCTTTATTGCTCAACTCCCCATGAGTTTTAGTTGGTGCAATCRGCACATACGTAAGGTCATCTGAGTGCCAAGCTGCTTTATTTTTATTTGTAAAATCAGCTAAGTCAACTACCAGAAATGCATTCTGTAGACACATAGCAACGATCTTCTAAAATATCTCCTCTTCACCACACTTCACCTCAGCAAAGGTAAAGCCTATTAATTTCCCATGATAAGGGAAAAAAAAAAAAAAAAAAGAAAAAAAAACCCACAAACCCATCTTTCAGCAGTGCTGAATGAAAACAGTCAGTTTAATTTATTATAAGATAGAAAGCCAGGTTGTATCTAGAGAAGAACACAGCATGAGCCTCACACAGCTAGCCAGAGGAAGTACCTTATGCATTTGTAATGACGTAATCCACATTTTCTACCTTGCTCTAAAGAACTCGCCTGTCTTGAGCAATGAAGACAAAAACCTTCCTCTGTTTGGGATTTGTAGTCATAAGCAAAGCTTGGAGAAGGTAGTTAACAAGGTCCAAAATATTAGGAGTTGCCAGAAAACTCTTCTGATCTATTAAAAAAAGAGTTTATTCTTAAACGCAAGATCTTTAGTTGCCGTTCATCTGAATCCCTCATCTGAATTACAGATCAAAATGAAGCTGACTGCTCTTCTCTTCATACTTAAAATTTAATATAATCCTTTGTGCTGAAACGTCCCCTTTCTCCTCAGAGCTAAGTTCAAAGAGCTTTTCTTTTACGTTCAGTACACATGCTATAGCTATTAACTTTATTCTATAAAAGCTCTTTTACCATCCCCTTTAACATAAATTAATGAATCAGTTCCAGTTTACATATATTTCCAGATATTTCTGAATATATTYTATTTATGTAGGACACAATCTGTATCTTCCATCAAGGTCATGGGCCAGTCAACTTTCCCCGGGAACTTTTGGAAGTGAATATCCCTAAAGAGCTGCAGTCAGCAATTTCAAAACCAAGCCATTTAAATTAAAGTAGAAAAACATAGGCTTTATAGACTGAAAGGGGAGGGAGTATCATGAAATTTATGTTAAACATAATATAAAATCAAACCAAACCAGATCTTTTCCATTATAATTTATAATTTGTTGGTTAAGCAAGAGTAAAGTCTTACATATCGGAAAGGCCATTTCCTAAAAACAWATCATCAACAACAAAGCATAAAAAACCCCAAAAAATCACCCCACAAACCAAAATTCAACCAACCAAAAAATATACCTAAACCAGCATATAATGTGCCACATATGCCCCACTGAAGCTACATAACCCTTTGCTTTGTCCTCTTAGAAATCTGTATTCAGGTAAGMGGGCTCTTCAATTAGTAGGTAGCATGTGATTATTGCCACTATTACARTAGTTGCATGTACCAGGTCTGGAATACTTTGGGACTGAGTTTGGGCTGAGCCTGACAGATTTACCTCCTATATATATTGTGGACATATTTGATGTATTGAGCACATGTGATGATATCAAAAGCAAGTTCGACCCTTCACTAGGAGCTACATAATCTATAATCAATTTTGCCAATGTCATTTTAAAACTCTCAGAATGTTACAATCTGAATGGCAAACATTCAGCTGATAGTGAAGCTGGCTGGGGTGCTAATAAGCTGGTGCATCCCAAATGGTACCTTGTTCATATAGCTGTATCTGCTCAGTATCAGTTTATCCATCTTTCAGAATGTAACATTAATCTGCCAATGAAAATACATGGGATAAATGCGTCACAGTCTATGTGAGATGCTGTCACAGCTAAAAAAAATTACTCAAAGAAACAAAAGAAAATAGGAATTCATATTGCGAGACTTAAAACTATCCCACAGTACACAGTGGTCAAAATCCTTGGTGTTTACAAACAGCCTGACTACCTCCAACAAAGCAGTTACGTATATCAAACATTCACAAAAAAACTCTTGACACAGTGTTTGACAAACAAACCATTAGTGCAGATCAACCAGTGCCATGTTCTCTACTTCATTATTTAGGATAACCAATTATTCAGACATCTTTCTTATAGTTCGGAGACCTTAACCCCWCTTCCCCTTTACCTTTTACAGTCACTGGTCATTATCCACTCATGTGATTTCTCTGATCTGCAAAAAAAGTGTGACAGACTTAAAACCAGATAGAGAAACAAAATTAGTTTACAACTATTTTAAATTACATTAGAATTAACAACTGACCTTTTGCTTCTCTCTGACTTTTAATTAAAATTCAATGTTTTTCTATCCAGAGGGAATTTCAGGGTGGGATTTTCAACACTGGCTCATGTCTTCTCAATTTTAAGTCAGTGTAATTGACTTCAGCAGAGGGAAAAAGAAAAAAGAAAAAAAAAAAAGGCAACACAGGAAAAAGAAAAAAGAAAAAAAAAAGGCAACACAGGAAAAAGAAAAAAGAAAAAAAAAAGGCAACACAGGAAACTCTTGAAAAATCTCACTTTCTGTGCCAAATATTAAAACCATGGCAATATTCCCACTGAATTCACTGTGGTTTTGGGCTTGATTTTAGGAATCAACATGGGGCTGTGATGGGTGGTGACAGCAGAAATATGTGAGAGGCTCCCAAAATGCCATTGTTGAACACCCAAGTACCATGAACACAGTCAATATCTGGAATTCTTTTCCTTTCTGTTACTGCTACCTGGAAGAGAGAGAGAGATCATTTTGTCTCTGTTTCTGTTGGACTCCAGAGGGAGTGAAAAGCTACCAAAAAGGTGTTGAGAAAGAGTAGAATGAAGTGGTTGGCTTCATATTGGAAGACCATCTAAGTGATCCTAGACCGGAGAAAAGTACAAAAATGGTTCAAAACAGARGTTTGGCACAATATTTCAGATGGGAGAGAAGATAAACCGTCTCAACATAAATGGAAAAATATGCAAATAGGCTAATTTATCAAACCATAAGTCTACATCAGTAGACTCAAGGTAACCAAAGACCTGATTACTGACTCTACCACATAATAATCAATACAAAGGAAAATGGTTTTAATAAAAGCTACTTACACACAAAATATAAGGATTCAAGAAGTCTAATTCAAATCTGACACTAAACGCAATTGACTAAAGGGAAATATTTTTGGTATCCTTATCACTACAGTCTTAACAATATATACCTGAATGTATCATAGGTGTCCTGGGGAAAGCCAGTCTTCATCTCTGCACTGAAGTGCATACTGAGATCAGCTGTAGTTTGTTCTCCCAAAGTAGCGGATCAGTCCCAAATCCATCATTTTTGGATGGCAGCTGGCCACACGATGYTGCAGTGCAGCATTTTTCCCTGGGAAAGCCTGCAGAGAACTTCTGTGCAGTCAGGAACATGCTCGCCACAATGACTTGCATTCCAGGTATCCAAAGGACTGCTGCAACTCATTTCCATGGGTGTGCATTTCTTTTTAGCCACAGCCTGAATTCCGACTGTCCACAAACACCATCTGCCCTTGCAATAAGCAATGTGCAATGTTGCTTTCTGGGCTGCTGCAGCCCACCCTGGGATGAAGCACGGTGCTGCACAAGCCAACAGATGGCTGTCTTGTATTTCTAATAGTAATCACATTTGCTATAGAGAAACAGCTAGTGCTGTTCTCCAAAACACACTTCCCACCACAGTCTACAAAATGTAGCAAAAAGGAAAAAAAAAATCTCAATCCTACCACCTTGTACAAAGAAGACATTTCAACTGACTGTTGTCTTGTTTAAATATGATGCAACTGCTATATTAAATATTCAATAGAACTCATTCCATGCCAGTGCTTTTTAACACTTTATTTTAAACCTTTTCACTCAGTGCTGAGCAGAATTAAAACATAAAATACAGGCAGATATAATCACCAACCAGCATACCAAAGTAAAAGCTCAGGTCTGAATTATCTAGAAATTCAGAAGAATGATGGAACATTTCCAATCGGCCTTCATATTCTTAAAGTCAGCAGTCAATTATAGATTCTAAACAGACTCTATTAAATATCACAAAAAGAGTGAATAATTTTCCAATAAGCATTGTTGAGTCAGTTATTAGTTATATGAGTATGCAGTTAATTAGCTATTTGCACTTTTTTTGTTATTTCTGAAGATGTCTATGAATCCTAAACATTTCACCAGCAGTGGATAACCCTTCTGCTGAAAAGTGGTATTGCAAGTCATTACAGGTTAGATGTTTTTCGTTATTTTCTCATTTTAACAGACTAAATTATCTAACTGTAATGTAGAAACAGAAGATGTAGTTAAGCTGAGATATGCCTGAAAAATCAGCTCCTTGAAGGAASAGTAGCAAGGAGTAATTCACACATACACTTGAAAAAACAGTTTTGCAAACATTTTTTGGTGTTAGATGACTTTTATTGAGCAATTAATATACTAAAAAAATCTAATCAGTTCAGGAGCAAGAGAAAAAAGAAAAAAAGATTAATCAGCTCAATAGTTCATCAGGTAGAATTCAAACACTTCTAGTCTATAATGGACTTAAAGATTTGCAATTAATCACCACTGTTGGAGTCGAATTCTCCCTATTCTTCACAATTAACAAGAAATTAGACTCTATTCTGGATAACTCCATTGCTGCACAGACAGAAATACAGCTACAGAGAGTATTTACTGCAGGTTAGTAGACAGAAAAGCTAAAACATAGATGCTTGCATGGACAGCAATTTTAATGCAGTTTTTAGCTGTTTTCACACTTGCAAATGACATGCCTGCAGAAAATGTGAACATTAGGCATACATTAGCAAATATTTCTATAGAGTATATGTACATATAGTGTGTGTGTGTGTGTATATATATGTATATATATATTTCACTTGAAAGTATATCAAGATTTGTTCTTCATCACCTTCCAACCACTGAGATCTTTATGGAAAAGCCTACCTTGTGCCATTCCAAGGCCTTGTCTAAAAGCATTTTTTGGTTCTGAAAGAGTCTCAGAACTTCATGTCATTGCTTTCTTCTTCTATAAAATAAGTGTAAGGCAATATGAATTGTGGACTTTAAGAGAACTCAGGGAGAAGACAACCACCTGACAACATGGTAGCATTTTTTCATTAAAATGAAATAAAAATGGCAAGATCATTTGGCCAAAACTGATAAACYGTTACAAGGGTTAATTTCATTTGCAATTATTTATGAATTTGTACATAAACTTTCTCTTGCTCAGAAAGCAAACTGCCTAGATTGAAATACGGTTTATTTTCACAAAATATTTCTCCTGGAAAAGAATAGAACCAATCCATATAGAATGTGAAACTATTATGATTAAAAACTAAAATTCTGAATCAAATTTTTTATAGCATAGTAATAAGACAGATATGTGAAAACTTAAGTCCATGTACAACAACCACAGCTAACAGAAGCTTGTTCAGATGGAATCTGTAGCTAGAGAGCTACAATGGACAGTCAAAAACCCTACAAGATACAGTGATAAACATAGCTAGATAAAATTCCATTCCAGTGCTTGTATTCAAGWTTACTTAAAGGATTTATGGCATACACTTTGGTAAAAAATGGGAAATAAAAATTTAAAAGGCAAGTGTCAATTGTAACTTTCCTATATGGATTAATTTATTTGCTAACTTAAATACTGTTTAATACTGAATAGCCAGCTAAGACAACAGAAGCAGGCTATCGGTTACCTGTAAGAGAATAATCACAGCCAGGTCTCCTTGATATATTCCAGGGTTACCTTGGGATCAAGATGGAGTTTAAAATATCTAGCAGTAGTAAATAACTGTGTCATTGGCTGTGGAGGAGAAGGATCTTCTGAAAGCCTTTCCTGTGTTGTATTGAAGAAAGACAAACATTATGGAGAGGATCACTCTCCATAGTGTTGTCACGATCCGTATCTTTTATAGCTAATAAAAGGAATCAATATGAATACTTATTCATTCCAGCTTTGATGGTTGATRTCAGTAGCTCCTTCCAAGGAGACTGCGTATCATATTTACAGCTAACATATTCATAATAGCTCTATCAAACCTTCCTTTGTGAAAGCAATTTTTGCTTTAATTAGCTTTCACATTAGTTYGGCTAAACTTGGGATTTTTCCCTGCAGTTTTCACCACTTCTTTTATCCAATGCTTTCCTGCTTCTGAACGCATTTTTGAATTGAAGCTGCTGATACCTGCTGGTCTTGGTGAGGGAGCAGACTAGTGCTGTCTTCTACATATGGACAGAACACACAACATCAAATTTTTCCAGAGAAAATTCTCATTCTCTCAAATTCTGGAKTTGCTACAGCCAATAAAGTTTTTGTCAAGGCATCAGATTTCCTATTAGAAAAAAAAATTCTTTGCAGTTTAGGGCACCTGGGGACAGTATGTAGATTGTATTCCTTGACCAAACTCACCCTGCCTTTGTTTGTGGGAAAAGGGAACAGTTGGAATGCAAGACATTTAGCTGATGACTAGGTGACTATCACTGCAGTTGATTTAAAAGTGCAAGAAAACCAACTGTTGTTTGTGTATATTTCAGCATTATTATTTCTCATTGCAACAATTTTGCTAATATTGCATTGCTCTGTCCATGTTTTTCTTTCCTTTTACCTGCATTTTTTCTTGRTTATTTCAGATCAACGGGCAAACTACAGGAATTTCACTACTGTATACAAAGTGATCTTGCAAGACTCTTACAGCAGCCACCATAAGAATCTTTTCAATAGTACCTAACTRGGTAGAGGTTGATTTCTCTTTCAGAAAAAAAGCAGTGCAGGGAATCTGTGTTGAAAGAGATGTCTAAGTGACTGCTGTTGCAAGAAACAAATGGTTAAGCTCTTCTGAGATGCACAAAGATCATACAAATCCACACCCATTTACCTTAACTTTAMAAAACTCTTACTCTTCTTTAAACAGTGGAACAATTTGGTCTCTTTGTTCTCTTCTGGAACCATTATTCTTCTGGAGTGGACAAGATTTACCCTGGAGGAACTACTAAACAACACAAGTAACATGATTAAATATGCYAGAGAATATATATCCTATTATCTAATTGGAAAATGTTCATAAAAATACTTTTAATCAAGTCATAACTTATATAATGATTCTGACATAAAACACACTTTAACAAGCTGGTAGGAAGAAAGGGAGAATAGTTGTATGGAAGCAAAGAAGGGAAAAAAAAACACTCCAAACCAATATAAAATTCAACTAGGGCCTTGAGGTTAGCAGTAATCATTGCTATCWTTTCATCCCTCCATTTCAATTTGTCTTACTTGA